AACTCTCCACATGGACGTTTGGGGCCCGTCCCCTTTCGGTGGAACGGACCAGGAACGCTATTTCTTGCTGGTTGTTGACGACTACAGACGCTACACCACTATCTTCCCTTTGTGGCGCAAGGCGGACGTCAGCGGTGTTTTGATCCCCTGGATCTGTGCTACTCGTCGCGAGCTGCGCGAGCGGTTTCGTCAGGACTTGCCAGTCCTGTGTCTGCACTCTGACAGGGGCGGTGAGTTCTCTTTTGGCCTCCTTGAGGAGTTTTGTCGGGACGAAGGCATCCGCCATACGTTCATGCTTCCGGCCTCTCCTCAGCAGAATGGGATTGCTGAGCGTCGCCAAATCGCCGAAGAGACGCATGCACACTGACCTTGTGCCATGCATGTAAAGATTTCTTTCAGCATTCCTTACCGCCACCTCAGCAACGCGTACAAGACCAACAATTTCTTCGCCCGTCGCTACTAACGGTGTCTTGCCGCTCTTGCACATCACATTTTTCCAATGCACTACTGGACTTGGCCGAGTCAGTCTACGCTTCAAGACTAGCCCGAACCTCGCTGCCAGTATCGCACTAATTAGCTCGCACGCACCACGTTATTGTTTACATGTTTTCGTTATAAATTTTCGGTCACATTGTGCTCATTTGACTCTTTAGTGCAATATTTACTCGCTCGTTCAAATGCACATGTAACACTTGGTATCAAAACTACTTTCCTTCAAACTGCACCTTTTTTTTTTCCTCGAAATGACCAACTGCCTCTCATGATAGCATGTCAGAATTTAGAAGAAAGAAAGAGGATTGAACTAGCAAGAATGAGGATACAAATAGCAAACCCTAGAAGGGTTGTACTCGCTATAGAGCACCCCACTACAGGCTAGAACAATAAGATAATATTCTGACAGACCCCCATAGCCAAAGTGGGGTGTAATCAGCAGAGCAGGCAAAGCAAAACAAGCTCAGGGTGGATCACAATGTCACCACACATTCTGAGCACAAGTTCAAGAAGAAATAGTTTAGAGTTCACAATTATAAGCAAAGCTAGTGGTAGTCACAACGGGCAAGTGAGGAGGAGGAGGGAGAGTGAGGGGAGAGGAGACAGGAGGCGACGGCTGAAGCTGCAGACACACGGGCAACAGGAGGCAGACTGGCACAGCGGCTACCGGACAGCGCCCGGACTACAGGAGTAACAGGCCCCGCGGCTCAAATAGCGGCGGACGGGCAACGGACCCACGGGCGGCTGGCACAGCTGGCTACGACTGGGCTACCGGGACAGCGCCCCGGACTACAGGTGCTGCTGACGACAAACTGGCAACCTCCGCTCATCCTCCCGCACATAGTCCCACCCCCCTGATACACACCCACTGCTACACCACTAGCTCTACTCCCACGCACCCCCCTAAAACCCTAAACCCCAGTCTCCCACACAACCACCCCCCTCAGCGACAGCTGCAGCAGTGGGAGACGAAGGAGGAGGAGGAGAAAGGGAGGAAGGCACACCGGCCACCCCCATACCCGCCACCCCACAGCTCGCCCCTCCCGTCGTCCGTCGTGGCGACCTGAGGGGGCCGCTTGCGGCCCCCGAAGGAGCCGCGACGGGCGACGGGAAATGGGGGAAGGGGAGAAAGGGGGGGGGCCCACCACGGACCTGAGGGGAGGGCGGGGCCGCGACAAGGGGCGGGGCCGCGACGAGCGGGGCGGGGCCGCGACGGTCGGGGTGGGACCGCGACGTAGGGTGGGGCCGCGACAGGTCGGGGCCGCGAAGGTAGGGCGGGGCCAAGCCGGGCAGGCGCACGGGCGGCGACGGGCCGGGGCGGGGCCGCGACGAAGGGCGGGGCCGAGCCGGGCAGGCGCACGGGCGGCGACGGGCCGGGGCGGGGCCGCGACGTAGAGGAGAAGCCCGCCGCGCGCCCCGGGGCGCACAGCGGGCAATGAACCGCCGCGCGCCTCGGGGCGCACGGCGGGCAGAAAACCGCCGCGCGCCTCGGGGCGCACGGCGGGATGAAAAAGTAGCAGCGGAAGCAAGGTGGGGACACACCCACAGGATCGATCCAAGGGGATCGACCTGCTCTGATAGCATGTCAGAATTTAGAAGAAAGAAAGAGGATTGAACTAGCAAGAATGAGGATACAAATAGCAAACCCTAGAAGGGTTGTACTCGCTATAGAGCACCCCACTACAGGCTAGAACAATAAGATAATATTCTGACACATACTAGGAGCCATTGTCCTTGTGCTCTCTCGCAAGCATGTGTAGCGACGATTGCACCTAGCACCTAATCTGGCCGACGTCCTTTCAGAATGGCAGATTGCATTAATCTCGCCGACCTCACGCAAGAGCGAGAAAACCTCCAGCGCACTGTAAGCCAGACGCAATCACAGACACAAGCAACAACAGCAATGGCAGCACCATCAACATTTCAACACAAGAGCATAGAACAATGCTTGAGCGCTAGTGATGATGGCGTCGTAGGCATCAAAGTGTGCGACGACCACAAGACGACACACCCCGGAGCGACGAGTGTGCCGGAGACCCAACAGCGCGTTATTGCCACGGCACAGAACGATGAGTCGACTATTTTTTTGCCGATGCCACTCAAGCCGCAGCATCCGCCATGCTTTAACCTGAGTCATTGGGGTGGTCCGACAACTTAGGAGTGTATTTTCACCATGAACGTGTTTTTTTACATTAACTATGGCTCGTCTGATGCGACGAAGATTCGATACGCAATATTGTTATTGTAAAGTCCCAACATGGATTGGTGGCGCACCATCATCACGAAGCCGAGCGATTACGAGCCGCTTCTGCAGGGGGGGGACCATCCAGATCATAGGTACTATCGTATTTTGTCGAGGTCGCCCATCGCACGTGGGACGCGCGGTGCGCGAGTCTGCATGGGAGATTCGAGGCAATGTTTCCGTCCAGGACAATACAAGTGGGTTCCTGACGCAGATTGGCTACATGCACATGAGAGAGCACATCGATCGCTATGCCTCAGGCCTAAGATATGAAATCGCGCAAGAAATCATGCTCAGCGGTGTCACAGACTTCAACAAAATTCCCGCCATGCAGTGCCCTAGATATCAGCCTTGTTACGCTGATTCAGCGTTAGATCAGGCCTTTTTTTAGGGGTTAGGCTGAATCCAAAGTTTTTTGTTATGTTCCTTGGCTGATTTTTCAGTGTTGATTTTTCAGTGTTTTTTTCTATACCTTGGCTGAATTTTCAGCCTGTTTGTATGGGTGTAGGCTGAGCACTCAGACTTGTAGTGGGTAAACACTGAAACCGGAAGACAGTGATTTCCGCCAGCACACCACTTCCACACGAACTTCCCCCCCCAGCCCCCGTGTTCCACTCGAATTTCCACCCCCCACCCCCCCCCCCCCCCCGGCCCCCATGTTCCACTCGAATTTCCCCCCCGGCCCCCGTGTTCCACTCGAATTCCCCCCCCAGCCCCCGTGTTCCACTCGAATTTCCCCCCCAGCCCCCGTGTTCCACTCGAATTTCCCCACCAGCCCACGTGTTTCACCCAAATCTCCCCCCAGCCCACTTCGTCCACTCTAATAAACCCCCCTTTCAACTCTCCTCCAGCCCACCCCGTTTCTCCCCTTAGCCCAGGTCGCTCTCTCACCCCTTCCCCCAGCCCACCTCGCCCCTCCCCAAAGCCCGCCTGCCTCCCTCGCCACTCCCAAACCAACCATAAAAATGTTACACAAAGTATATGTAATTCGTAATTCTGCTTAGAATCAAAGCTATACACAATTAGCGTAATTTGTTTATGAACACTGATTTTTTCAGAGTTTTTTTTCCCTAGGTAACGCTGACTGTCACCGTTTTTTTTCCGTACCAGGACTGATGGATCAGCCTGGTCCAAAACGAATCTAGGGGCCTGCCGCCATGGCAGAAAGTTTCGATTTTCTCTGCCGACCGAGAACAGGGTACTACTACAACTGGAGACACCGGGCTCGCGGGACGAATGAGGGTCCTACAATATGCGCTGTCGCCGCGAATGCCGCTACCGCACTGTTCAAAGGGCGCAATTCGCGTGCACCCTTTTGATCTCTTGAACTCGTTCAAAAGGCTGTCATCAACAGCTTTGTAACACTATGTACAGGTCACATGGATGGGACATTCTTTTTAGTGCGTCTTTTATTCGCGGGATTGCTGTAGGATTCAATGTGCAATGTGCAATGGCTTTGTACAGAACAAATCTAGTCAAGGCAAACAAAGCAACATGCCAGTCCAAAATCTACTCACTGCACAATCATAACCGTTATTAAGGTTTCTAAACAATTCAATGCTGCGGCTGTATTTCTTAGTGACCAGCATGCCGCACGTATCGCCACGCTTCACACTGTACAATCTCTTGGTTGAACAGGGCACGCCTGAGAGAGGACGAGAGTCAAAGCCGGCCACACAAACCTGCCAATTGTGTTTCCGTGAAAACAGGGTTTGCGTGAGACAAACTAAAAAGGAAGCATCAGATATGAAGCTAGCTTTCGACCACTCGTGGCATCTCAAAACTTCACGCTACTGCCAGCAACAGCCTTCTTGACCTTGTCACAGGAGAAAAGAGATTCGACCTGGATCATCGCACTCACACCCTTCCACTCCCCAGCTCTACCACTTACCCTGGCCCCTGGCATCATCGAAAGCGAAGCCCCAATATCCCCCACACTCGCACCATTGTGGCTGCGAGGTTTCCGTGATGCTCATATTCAATCCCTTTCACTCGTACAACCACTCACGCACCACTGCACACTGCCACGCACTTACCTCGCAGTCATATCCACACTCTTCCTACTGCAGTGCAGAAAGGAAATTTAGAGGAAGCCTAGGTTCAATTCCATACACCTGGCCCCATACACCTGGCCCCATACACCTGGTAACAGCTTTCCCACCTACCTGGTAACAGTCTTCCCACCCACCTGAGCCACAGTGTTGCCCTGCAGGGGGCTGTCTGGCAGCAGAGAATCACACAGAAGTGATTTTTTAGGCCTCAAAGATCACTCCCACCCACCTGGTAACAGCTTCCCACCCACCTGAGTCACAGTGTTGCCCTGCAGCGGGCTGTCGGGCAGCAGCGAGTCGCACGGAAAGGCGGGGTTCAGCTGAAAGAAGCGCGTGGGAGGGGTGACTTGAGTCGACTCAAAAGTCACCTCGTTACACCAACTCACAAGTCACTCCCACACACCCTGGTCCACTCTTCGCACTCACCTCAGTCACAAAGTTCCCTTGAAGCGGGCTGTCAGGCAGCAGCGAGTCGCACGGAAGGCCGGGGTTGAGCTGGAAGAAGCGCGTGGGAGAGGCGAGGCTGAAGGCCTGCCACAGCCCCTGGCAGGTCTGTGGGCTCTCAAGCTCGCTTATGAGCACGCTCTCGACTGTGTATGGGGCTGTCTGCTGCAGGCTGCTGGAGGGTGTGGCTGGAGTGATGCGTGCGTAGTGGTTGCACTTTACGTTAGTGTTTCCTTGGTCGTACCACTCTTGGTCAAACGCCACGCAGAGTAACTGTGGGGAGGGGAGGAAAGGGGGGAGAGGAAAGAGATGGTAGTTGTCCGAACAGGGGTGGTGTATTGGGGTAAATTGCTGTAGATTGGTGTACATTGGTGTACATTGGTGGTGTACATTGGTGTACATTGGTGGTGTACATTGCTGTACATTGGTGTACATTGGTGGTGTACATTGGTGTACATTGGTGGTGTACATTGGTGTACATTGGTGGTGTACATTGGTGTACATTGGTGTACATTGGTGTACATTGGTGTACATTGGTGTACATTGGTGTACATTGGTGTACATTGGTGTACATTGGTGTGCATGTTGCACTTGTGACCACAACCCCATGCTGCACTTGTGACCACAACCCCATGCTGCACTTGTGACCACAACCCCATGCTGCACTTGTGACCACAACCCCTACTCAAAAGTGATCTCACCTACTCAAAAGTGATCTCACCTACTCAAAAGTGATCTCACCTACTCAAAAGTGATCTCACCTACTCAAAAGTGATCTCACCTACTCAAAAGTGATCTCACCTACTCAAAAGTGACCTCACCTACTCAAAAGTGATCTCACCTACTCAAAAGTGATCTCACCTACTCAAAAGTGATCTCACCTACTCAAAAGTGATCTCACCTACTCAAAAGTGATCTCACCTGCTCAAAAGTGATCTCACCTACTCAAAAGTGATCTCACCTACTCAAAAGTGATCTCACCTACTCAAAAGTGATCTCACCTGCCCGTGCCTCGGCCCATCGGAGCAGCTGAGCGCGGGGTTGAGCGGCTCTATCTGCGTGTTGAAGAGCGCGTTGATGGAGTCACAGGTGTCGCCCTGCAGGCACACGTGTCAGATACAGGGAGAAGTGGAAGTGAGAGCGAGGATAATGGGAGAATGGGGTTGCACGGTTCTATCTGCGTGGCGAAGAGCGCGTTGATGGAGTCACAGGTGTCGCCCTGGTTTCACACGCACACGGGGGGAGCGATGAGGTGAGGCGAGGTGAGGTGAGGTGACGCGAGGTGAGGTGAGGTGAGGTGAGGTGAGGTGAGGTGAGGTGAGGTGAGGTGAGGTGAGGTGAGGTGAGGTAAGGATTTGGCCAGGAGCGAACGGATAAGATGGGATTGACGGGGCGGGTGGAGTGAGAATCACCTGTAAAGGGAGAGTGAGTGGTAGCACATGTGGTCTGGTCAACAGACCTGCACTAGGCATGGGAAAACGAGTCGAGAACAAGCTCGACTCGGTTCTTTCTACTTGATCGACGCAAGCCAGAATGAGTCGATCAATACTCTACTGGTTAAATGCTCATCGACTGGCTTGCACTGCACTGCACTGCACCGCCTGGTGCTGCATGGGCATTGGGAGACGGAGGAGGGGGCATGCAGCTTAAATGCAGGTCACATGCTATGCATAAGCAAATTACCAAACAGCGGACCGGTTCAAGACGAGCCGGATCGATCCATACCGGTGGTTAGCCTAGTTGCAATTCCACTTACATAACACAATGCCACCTTCGTATAATCCAATGCCGCTTACAAAATCCGACGCCAGTTACATTAAAAAATGCCACTTACATAATTAACAGTACATTGCTGTACATTTCTGTGATTACAATGCCACTTACTTAATTAACAGTGTACATTGCTGTACATTTCTGTGATTGCAATGTCACTTACATGATTAACAGTGTACATTGCTGTACATTTCTGTGATTGCAATGCCACTTACATAATTAACAGTGTACATTGCTGTACATTTGGAGAAAGCACGACTGGTGACGTTGACCAGGGTGTCGGCAGGAATGGGAGCTCGACATTGGAAGCCCTGGTATCAGAGCATGGTATCAGAGAATGGTATCAGAGCATGGTATCAGGGCATGGGCAGTTGAGAGCAGGGTAAAAAAAAAAAGAGAACGTATTTTTGGAAATTTACCATAAAAAACGGTACCGTAAAAACGGCGCTGTGCTGTGCTGTCCCATGCTGTGCCGTGATGTGTTGTGATGCGATATGTAATATGTGACATGCAATGTGAGATCGCCTTCCTCACCTTGTTTTCACTAAAAAACTGGGTCTGTGTCAAACCGAAAGTGTTTAGTATTAGGGGGCATGTGAGACCAAACTGGGACAGGAAGGTTGGCATTCGAGTGCCACCCGCTTGAACTGTAGACATGTTGGGGAAAGGGAGGGGGGGGGGGGAGGGGGAGGGAAAGGGGGGGAAGAACCTCAAAAGCAAATAAAGTGTTACAGAAGTTGTAAAGAGGTAGTCGGTCCGTCGTTGGTACCCTCTTATGGTCACATAGTTGGGGCAAGATCAGGGTTTTTGCGTTTAAGCCCAGAACGGAGCCTGCCCGTGGCATTCGGGCGGAAAACACCTTCCTAGGCAAGTGGCGTGATGGGAGGATGTGTGTGGGAGGCTACACGGGTTGTGGTGCAAAAGATGTCAGCCCCACATGCCATGCCCTTCAACTAAGGCGTTTTTTTTAGGCGCCTCAAAGATGTGCGTGGGAGGCTACATGGGCTGCATTGCAAAATGTGCCAGCCTCACATGCCATGCGCTTCAACTTAGGCGTTTTTTTAGGCGCGTCAAAGATGTGCGTGGGAGGCTACATGGGCTGCATTGCAAAATGTGCCAGCCTCACATGCCATGCGCTTCAACTTAGGCGTTTTTTTAGGCGCGTCAAAGATGTGCGTGGGAGGCTACATGGGCTGCGTTGCAAAATGTGTCAGCCTCACATGCCATGCGCTTCAACTTAGCAGTGTGCCCCTTCTCTTTCCAAACCCCTGACTTTGTTGGCCTGCTTAGCCAGTTTGCATTAGCTGAATTGAACTTGTCATGCATTCTCCTACTGCTAATGAAACCACACTTCTCTCTCCCCTCAGGAAATAAAGGGTTGTAAGCAAGAAATCAACACAAGGTATATTACTTACCCAGGGAGCAACTGGCAGTGCCCTTGGGAGAAAAGGCGAAGGGGAAGTAGGGCAAGGGGCAGAGGCAGGAGTAGGAGCCATCCACACCATCTATACACACTCCTGGGGCGCATGGGTTGCTGTAGAGCTGGCGACACGTGTAGGCCTCTGGTGAGGGGACGTGGGGGGAGGGGAAAGAGAATGGGGGGGGGGGGGGGGGGGGGGCAGAGAGGGGAGAGAGGAGTGAGTGAGTGAGCAGCACATCGGCACACTGTCGATGCACACCCCGGGGCGCATGGGTTGCTGGAGAGCTGACGACACGAGTAGGCCTCTGGTGAGGGGAAGGGGGGAAGGCGGGGTGGGGAGAGGGAGAGTAGAAAAGAGAGGATGGGGGAGGAGGGGGAGGAAAGAGCAAGAGGGAGGGGGAGGAGGAAGAGAGCGAGGGAGGGGCAGTGGGTTGGGGAGATACAATGGAAGGGGATTGGGTAAGTCTCATCCACCTCAGCAGTGGGGGATGTAGGAGCGGAGTAGACATGATGGGAACAATGGGCTGACATTCCAGGAAGGCAAAGGAAGCACAATACAAAGAACAAAACAATACAAAGAACAAAACAACACAAAAAAAGAACACACCCTTCAGTTTCACAAGGCAGGACTGACCAGGGAAGCAGGAGGGCAGGCCAGTGAGGTGAGTGGGGGACGTGAGGGCCACTTGCCTACCGCACTCCACCATTTGCCTACCACACGCACTCCACACCTCACCTCTTGCACTCCATGTCTCACCAGGGAAGCAGGAGGGCAGGCCAGTGAGGTGAGTGGGCTCGAAGGAGGGGAGCTTCAAGGCGCACTTGCAGGAGGGCAGCAGGACAGAGGCGTCCCATGGGGACCGCGCCTTAGAGCATGTGCCCATGCCGCAGGGGAGCACGGGAGAGTGGTTGCAGAAGTCAGTGTCTATCAAGGGGGGTGAGGGCGGGTGTGCGGGGAAGCGAGGGGATAAAGTGAGAAGCGAGGGGGTCAAGTGAGAAGCGAGGGGGTCAAGTGAGAAGCAAGGGGATAAAGCGGGGGCTGGAATATACATATGTATATATATATACATATATATATGTATATATATATTTACCTTCCTCTTTTCTCTCCCCTTTCCAGTCGTGGAGGCGAGGGCGACGGGGGCAGGGCTCGTGGCTTGCTATGCCTCCCCCCTCCCACTCTTCCCCCTCACCACCCCCCCCCCCCCCCCCTCCTACCTGTGAATCGGAAGGTCCAGGAGGAGAGGGCAACGGGGGAAGGCATGCGGCCAGGGGGGGGAGGGAGAGCAGCGCTGGTGAACCCAACGACTAGCTGCCCAAAGGATGGCGACCATAGGTCCGTGGGGCTGCTGCTGCCGCTGCTACTGCTGTTGCTGCCGCTGCCGCTGCCACTGCTGCTTTGAGTGGTCTGTGTCACATTGGTCAGAGCAGCACACAGGTCAAAACTGAGCCTCGTGCTGCCCTTCACAACAGGGGGTTTGTACCACCGAATCAGCATCTCCTTGCTGCTCCCGTTATAGTCAACCCTCATCTGCCACACGTCATCCGGCTCCATCGGATAAACCACTTTCTTTGCGAAAATCGAGGTCATGTTAAAATCAGTGTTAACGCCAACATGTATACTATTTACATCGCCCATTTCTGGGTTTGCTACAGTGTCCCATTCCACAGCTACACTCCGCGCGCCATCCGGCCAGCTGCCATTAGCGAGTCGCGAGGATGGGTCCCGGCCGTACCCCATATAAGCCCCACCTTGACCTACGGTCGCATGAGTGCTTATAACGAACGCGAGCCCATGGGAAGCGGATGTATTCATGGAAAAGCCGTATGTGAAGGTGAAGGAGCGAGCCTTGCAGACAGGAGGCTCGGTGGCTGTAGTTTGGGAAGGTGGGGAGGAGGAGGAAGGAGAGGAACGGGGGGAGCTGCGAGGACGAGCAAAGGGAGGAGGAGGGAAGGGAGGGGAGGAGGAGGAGTAGAGGAGAGGGAGACGGCGGGTGAAGAAGAGGGCTCCAGGTGCGGGTTCGTTTGATTGGCTGGTGGATGCCACGTCAGCAGCGACGGAGAGGTCGGCAGCGAAGAAACGCTTCCGTGTGCTGCCATGTGTCAGCAGGGGAGTGGCTGGCGTGATGTAGGGGAAGGAGAACGAGTCTGCCGCCCAAAACAGAAGCGGATCCTCCGCTGATGGAGTGGCATGATACAGAGGAAGGGGGGGATGGGGAGAGTGGGGTGGGTGGGTGGAGGGGGGGTGAAAAAGGTGGGGGGTGTGGGGGTTTCGGAGGAAATCACGCCAAGGAGCTTTAATCCTAGGTAGGGTGTGGACTATGGGCCATGATAGGCAGATTCCATGAGCTTCACGCCTCCTCTTCATATCAAGGAACACTGGAAGATGAACACTGGAAGTGTGATGGTGAAGGAACCGAGGGGATGGAAGGGAAATACTATGGTCGGTTCAGCACAGGCAATTTCTGAGCCGCCTTGAATATACAGAACCAACGAAATCTTGAGGAACAGTGCATTCGAGGCGCCTCAAAAGTCGTCTCAAAATATCAGGCGCCTCAAAACTAGAAGCCTCAAAAACTGATTGTGGTTATGTGATTGAGCGGTGTGAGTAGCAGGTTAAAGACACTCCACTCACCCTCCCCCACTTGGAACGTCCACCCCAGCACCACTTAAGGTCACCAAGCAACTCACCCTCCCCCACTTGGAACGTCCACCCCAGCACCTCATGTGCCTGAGCCTGCTCCGCCCCCTTGCCCGTGGCCGCTGTGAATCCCACAAACAGCGGCGGGGGGGGCGCTGCCGCCTCCGGGTCGTTCCCCCCCAGCCACTCGCACGTGTCCAGGAATGTGCTCAGCACGGCCGAGCGCGGGAGAGGGGGGGCGGAGGGGGAGGAGGAGGAAGAGGAACGAAAGGAGGAGGAGGAGGGGGAGGGAGAGCGAGAGAACCGGGGGAAACCAGGGAAGCAAGGAAAGCGACAGGAGGAGCGAGGGGTGGGGAGGGGAGGGGAGGAGGAGGGGGCAGGGGAGAGCCAGACGGTGAGGAGGGAGGAGGAGGCGTTGTAGTGGATGGTGGCGAGGAGGGTCTGACCGGCGTTGAGGGCGGGAATGCCGAGGGGGTGCACGGGGGCAGAGGCGAGAGAGAGCATGCTGCCGTGCAGGTTCACCCCCACGTGGTGGTCGGGGCGGTCCCAAAACTCGGGAGAAGAGGCCGTGTCAAACTCCACTGCCAGGCTCCGCTGCTGCTGTAGCTGTGTGTGGGGGAAGCAGGAGGGGGAGCAGGGTAGTGGGCAGAAGAGCAGGAGAGCAAGGAGAGCAGGAGAGCAAGGAGAGCAAGGAGAGCAGGAGAGCAAGGAGAGCAAGGAGAGCAGGAGAGCAAGGAGAGCAAGGAGAGCAGGAGAGCAAGGAGAGCAAGGAGAGCAGGAGAGCAAGGAGAGCAAGGAGAGCAGGAGAGCAGGAGAGCAAGGAGAGCAGGAGAGCAAGGAGAGCAAGGAGAGCAGGAGAGCAGGAGAGCAGGAGAGCAAGGCAGGAAGAGTAAGACCAGCAGACAATAAACAGGGACGACGAAGCGGAAAGACGAACAGCAAATCCACAACAAACGCCATCCCATTGCTGCCTATCCCCGCCTAAGTTGGAGTATACGCTCAGAGCCTCAAGCGTATCGCGTTTATACGCTTGCGTTTTAACGCTATACGCAAAACGCTAGGGAATACGCAATACGCAGTCAGAAAAGTTTTAGGGCTGCTCGAAAAAAAAAAATCGCGGAATAGGTGCGGAATTTCTTCGTGAGCATTTCGCGAAAGTCGAAATGCTAATCGGTGGTCTAGGCAAGCGGAAATGTGACTTCGAAGTTGGGAGGCATGTCTGGGAATCGAAATGTTGAATCTCATATTAGTACCGCACTGGAACCCATAACATCTACGAACTCCAACCTGTCCAGAACCACCCCCCCAACAAACCCCACGCTGCTTACCAGCCAGTCAGCCCTAATCTCGACATTTCTACATTTCGTTTCATCTCGATCTCGCCGACTTCATACTTCTCAACGAGTATGACTAGACTGCGGGCACCAACTTCGTGCTTTGCACCTCGCCCATCCCCCGCTAAAGACCTAACAACTGCCCGGGAAAAAAATTTAGGTGCCCGGCCCTGTGTATTCACTGCGTACAGGAAGCCTCCCAAGAAGCGTTCAGCGTTTATACGCTAGCGGATAAACGCTAGCGTATGAAACGCGAAACGCGTATATTCCAACTAAGATCCCCGCCCCGCCCCATTGGGTGTGCGGATGCGGAACGCAAAGGAACTGTACCTGAGATGACACGTACCTGAGATGACACGTACCTGAGATGAGATGTACCTGAGACGACACGTACCTGATATGACACGTACCTGATTTGACATGTATCTGAGATGACATGTATCCGAGATGACACGTACCGGATATGACACGTACCTGAGATGACACGTACCTGAGATGACATGTTCCTGAGATGACACGTTCCTGAGATGACATGTACTTGAGATGACATGGACCTGAGATGGCACGTACCTGAGATGACACGTACCTGAAATGACACGTACCTGATATGACACGTACCTGAGATGACACGTACCTGAAATGGAACACTGCTGGTGCTGATGAGATGCGCGTACCTGTGAGTCATCAGCACCAGTCGTGCTCCCCGGGGGCAGCAGCAGTCGGCCGTACCCCAGGGAGGGCCCCGGCAAGCCAAGAGTGGGCGTCGGCAGCATCACAAACGCCAAGCCCTCGCCGCCCAGCCCGGCGGCATTGGGGGAGGAGATGCGGAAGGTGAAGGAGGTGGAGAAGGAGAAGGGGCGGCAGGGGGAGGAGGGCGTGGCGGGGGCGAGCAGGGCGAAGGGGGTGGGGTGCAGCGCCAGGGCGGCAGCGTTGAGGTCGGAGAGCGTGGTGAGGGAGAGGGAGGAGCGGTTGCGACGGGTTGAGCCGGCTGTGAGGAGCGGGTGGGCACTGGAGAGCGGCCAGTGGGAGAAGGACTTGAGAGGGGAGGGGTCGGCTGCAGGGCAGGGAAGTGGGGAAGGCGTGGGGGAGGGGAAGGAGGGGAGGGGGGGGCGGGAGGGAGTGGGAGAAGTACTTGAGAGGGAAGGGGTCGGCTGCAGGGCGGCGGCAGTGATGGGGAGTGGAAGGGGGAGGAAGAGTGGGCGCAGCCGTGAAATCAGGGATCGATGAACAGAGCACATGAGTCGGAGGTTGAAACTTGGACGTTGAGCATCATGTGTGCAACAAACAATGTTGATCGATAAACTAAGGATGTTGATCGATAAACAAACGATGTCAATGCGCAGCGCAACGCATGCATTCTACCATCGTGCCTGTGCCACACCAGTTACCCTGTCAACCATTCCTGACTTTCTGCTTCACTGCGAGTGGGCATGACAGACGCAAGGTCGATAGCAGTGGTCCCCGCCCCACTTCCAACGCCACACCCACTCACTCAACTGGGCCATCCGCCCGTCCGCACCGTCTCACCAACCGTCTGTCTGCACCTACCCCCCCCTCTCACTCACCTGGGGCTCTATCCCTCCCCACCTCGCCCGTCCTGCATCCACCTGTTCCTCTCTCACTCACTGCGAGTGGGCATGACAGACGCAAGGTCGATAGCAGTGGTCCCCGCTTCCGAAGCCACTCCCTCTCTCTTCACCCCCACCTTCGCTCCCGCTCCTGCTCCCCCTCCCGTACTCGCAGCAACAGCGAATTCGGCTGCTCCCGGTCTTGTTCCCACACCCTCCGCTGCCGCTGCCGCAGCGTGGGCTACGAAACTAGCTGCTTGCACTGTCCGCGCTGCTGCAACCCGTGATTCCCCCACCCCCTCCTCCGCTGCCGCATTGTGAGATACAGTCTCCGCACCAGCTGCTTGCACTGCGGGCGCTGCTGCTGCTGCCGCCGCTGCTGCTGCTACTGCTGCTGCTGCCCCTGCATCTGCTGCTCTCTTCAGCCCAGAGCTCCGGAACTGTTGTGGCCCCCAGACCCGCCTGAGTGAGGGGAAGGGTAGCGTGGGGAAGCGGAGAAGCCTTTCCAGGGCGGATGCAGCGCGGGTAAGGTGGGGGTGTAGTGCGGATCGGATTAGGAGGCCCATGGAGGAGGAAATGGTGAAGCCGCTGCCCCCCCTGCTGTCAACAACGGCCCTGCTGCTGCTGCTGCTGCTGCTGCCGCCGCCGCCGCTGCCGCCGCCGCTGCTGCTGCTGGTTGTGCTGGTGCTGCTGGCGCCGATGCTACCACTGTCACTGCTGCTGCTGGCAAATACGCTGCTAGTGGCGTCGGCAGTACGGCTGGAGGTGGCGACGGTGGCAGTGCTGCTGCTGCTGCTGCTGCTGCTGCTGCTACTGCTGTCTTGCACACCTCGAATCACCAAATGCAGCGCCACTCCCCCGGGAGGCACAACCAACGAGGAAGGGGAAGAGGCGGAGGAGGAAGAAGAGGAGGGGGATTTCGGGGGGTCAGGGAGGGGGAAGAGGAGGGGTCCCACTTGGAACCAAGGCAAGGCGCCGGACAAACTCGCACTGCTCGCCCCACACGGCACACCCACCCGCCACTCCCCCCACACCTGCTCCCCCGCCTCTCCTCCAGCTGCTCCCCCTCCCCCTGCTGCTGCGGCAGAAGCGTTCAGCGGAACTACCAGCAGCAGCACCTTCAACAGCCGCACTGCCTCCCCTTCCCCGGCCCCCTCCCCCTCCGCGCACAGGCTGGCGCGCGCAAAGAACGAGAGCGACAGCTGGCGCGGGGACTGCTGCTGCTGCGCCTGCTGCGACTCGTTGCTGGTCGGCGCCGCGGGTTTGAGTTCGCACAGCGCTTGCGCCACGCCTGGGCCGCCAAACGCGCTGCTACTAGTACTATCATTACTACTGCTATTGCTACCATCAGAAGTGTCGTTGCTACTAGGCGACGCGGAAAAAGCGGAAGTCAGCCGTAAAAAGCGGGGACCCGTCGGCTGCCAGTAGGGTGTCCGTGACTCCCGTGACCCCGTTCTTAATTGACATGTCAGCAGGCGACGCCGCCGCCCCTCCTGCTGTCGCGACCGCTTCTACCAGTGTCGCACCCGCTGGCGCGCGCATTGTTCCGCGGTTTCCGCCGCCAGTTGCGGTGGCGAAGACCTCGTCGCTGAAAAACGATTCCCCAGGTTCCAGCGCGCGCCACGGGAATAAATATGGCCACGGATCGCATGACGCGTTCAGCTTCTTGCGACGCCATCCTGTATCGAGACAGCTTGTATCGAAGCTTGGGTTCGAGAGGAAATTCAAAGATTCACCTGTGACGGCCAAAGAAGTGGGGGTATAATGAAATATTTGGAGATTTACAGGGCTCAGCGGATAGAAACGAAACTTCTAGAGATACAGCTTTGCCAGCTCAGCTGATCGTTGCGGCAACATCTACGCACGAACGAATAATCGGGAGGAGCGGAACGGAATGCACACCGGCAAACGACCGAAAAGTGGCTTATATTGCGAGGAGGAAGAAGGGGGTGGAGGCAAAAGGAACGAGTAAAATGTGGAATTATAACTACGCCTGGAGAAGGACGGCTGCTACATAGTGGCTCGTCTCTATTAAAGGCGTGCTTACGACTCGACAAGTACTTAGCATGATAGAGACGAAACCTTAATTGGCGGTGATACCGAGAACGGGAGAAGCGGAGCCTCTTACTTGGATTCGTTAGGTTATAGCAGTCGACGAGACCGCGAGCGACACGAACAAAGGCTACGAAATAGAGGAGAAACGTAACCCGTCGGAATTTCGCGACACAGTGAAGGCTCGTGGCCCCTGCGTGAACACGCAATCTGCGGCGACAGATGCGGAAGCGGTTCATCTGCTGGACACGGTCTCGGAATTAAACTTTTCCGACAAAACTACGCGCTGCGATCGGTTGCATGTGAAAGAGGCGTCGGACGTTTCCGAGCAAATCCCGGACTGACACGTCGCCATTCCGAGTTGGCCTGTCGCGGCGCGCGTATTGGGACTGCCCAGCGAGAAGCTACTAGAATGGCGATCGCCACATCTTGTACACCCTGTTTCGCGCTACACTGTCAATGGCTATACTAACTGATCGGATGTACACACATCAATGCGTCCAGGATGGTCCATGCACATATGATGTAAGCTCGTTTGCCCGCACTCAACCGTACCCAAAAGCAAGTTGTTTTTTAAAAACCGTTGTGTACCGTTCACCAGGAGTCCATTTGCCCGTCACTACCTGCAGTTCGGCTGCAAGCACGAGACCGCTACGTTCCAAGCAACAGTACACACTATAGCCTGTGAATCTCATTGTCAGTGTAGCGCAAAAAAAGGTGTACTCTTTAAAAAGGTCGTTTCGTTAGGCATGGACAAGCGGGTGGTGGGTACTAATTATTACATACGATGAAAGGTGTTTCACGTTGCAACTTGCCAGCCAGCCCCTTCCCTTACTGTACTGTACTGTATGCCTTGGAGAAAGGTCCAGTCCAGTTGCTCTGCCACACAGCGTGTTGGTGCGCCGACATCTGTGGGGGGAAGGGGGGGGAGGTTGGGGTGGCAGCAGCCAATTGCTGTGATCGACTCGTTGTCACCGCACTGCAACCATGCTATGTCAGAACTATATAGCTTATACTATTGTGTAGGCTATAGTGGGGTATCCCATAGGGGGTACAACCCAATTAGGGTTTCCTATTTGTACTCACTTCTTTCATAGTCATTCCATTCTCGTTCTCTCTTTCACATGGAATCAGAGCAGGTCCCCTACTAGGGACTGTTTCTTGGGCCCACCGAAGCGCGCCCCGAGGCGCGCGTCCTTTTTTTTTTAGCGACCCTTCGTGTCGCCCTCCCTAGCGGCCTGTCGAGCCGCCCTACCTTGCGGCCCCGCCGCCCTATCGCGCGGCCTCGCCGCCCTAAGTCGCGGCCTGCCCGCCGCCCTACTTCGACGGCCCCGCCGCCCTACGTCGTGCCCCGCCGCCCTGCGTCCCGGCCCGCCCGCCGCCCTACTTCGACGGCCCGCCCGCCGCCCTACGTCGCGGCCCCGCCGCCCTACGTCCCGGCCCGCCCGCCGCCCTACTTCGAAGGCCCGCCCGCCGCCCTACGTCGCGGCCCCGCCGCCCTCAGCTACGCGGCCCCGCCGCCTTCTGCTACGCGGCCCTGCCGCCCTCTGCTACGCGGCCCCGCCGCCCCTCGATCGCGGCCCCGCCGCCCTCTGCTACGCGGCTCCGCCGCCCTCTGCTACGCGGCCCCGCCGCCCTCTGCTACGCGGCCCCGCCGCCCTCTCCTACGCGGCACCGCCGCCCTCTGCTCCGCGGCCCCGCCGAGCCGCCCAGCATCAGCCGAGCCGCCCAGCAGCAGCCGAGCCGCCGCCGAGCCGCCGCCGCCTGAGCCGCCGCCCGGGCCGCCGCCGAGCCGCCGCCGCCTGCGCCGCCGAGCCGGAGCCGCCCGAGCCGCCGCCGAGCCGCCCAGCAGCAGCCGAGCCGCCGCCGAGCCGCCGCCGCCCGAGCCGCCGCTGAGCTGCGACCGAGCCGCCGCCCGAGCCGCCCGAACCGCCCGAGCCGCCCGAGCCGCCCGAGCCGCCCGAGCCGCCGTGCTGCTGTTCCTGAGCTGTGTTCTTCTGCTGCTGACCTACCCGACTCTCCCAGCCCGGTGAGACTTCCAGCTGCTGCCATGGCCACCCCCAATGTTCTTACTTTTGACGCTGAGGGGAGGGCCATTGACTTTGCCGTCTGGATTGAAGACCTGCAGCTGTACTTACTGTGTGATGCGATAGATGAGGTCTCTCTTTTTGACTTTGTCTCTGGCGCTGTTCCTGCCCCACCTGCTGATGCTGACTCTGCCGTTCGCTCCAAGTGGGCGACCCGCGATGCTGCTGCACGTCTTGCTGTGCGTCGCCACCTCCCTTCCTCTGAGCGTGCCCACTTTAGTCAGTGCAAGACCGCTCAGGCCTTGTACGACGCTGTAGTTGCACGCTACTCCTCCCCTTCCTCCGCTACCCTTAGCCGCCTCATGCTACCGTTTCTCTTCCCTGACCTCGCTTCCTTTCCCACTGTCGCTGACCTCGTTACCCACCTCCGTGCTAGTGACACCCGCTACCGCGCTGCCCTTCCTGCTGAGTTCCGCGCTGCGAACCCTCCTCCCATGTACATCACCCTCTACTTTCTCGTCACCCGTCTCCCTGAGTCCCTTCGTGTCGTTAGGGACCAGTTTCTCTCTGTCTGTCCCACCACTCTCACTGTCGACCTCCTTGAGGAGTCCCTGCTAGCGGCTGAGAAGAGTATTGTCGCTGTAGGGGCCTCTCGGGGTGACCCTCGCACCCCCATCTTTGAGGGGTGTGGTCCTTCCCCCCTGCTGCCCTCTGTCGCCTCTGCCGCTGCGGCCGACCTCACTGGTTTTGAGTCGGTCGGCGCGGCGTCTGCCCCCAGCGGCAGACGCCGCTCTGGCAAGAGCAAGGGGGGCAAGGGAGCGGGTGGAGCTCGAGGGGGCGGTGGAGGAGGCGGTGGGGGTGGCGGGGGGAGTGGGGGTGGCAGTGGGGGTGGTGGCGGGAGTGGAGGTACTGGTGGCGGCGGTGGAGGCGGAGGTGGCGGCGGAGGTGGTAGCGGAGGAGGCGGTGGGAGCGGTGGGAGCGACGGTCCTGGTGGGGGAGGTGGCGGTGGAGACGGGGGTGGCGGGTGGAGGCGGGGGTGGCGGTGGAGGCGGGGGTCGGAGTGGCTCGTCCCAGCGGAGCAGCTCTGGGGGTGGTCAGCGCCAGCAGCAGCAGCAGCAACAGCAGCAGCCGCAGCAGCAGCCACAGCAGCAGCAGCGCTCTCGCACCGTCCCCGGCCCTCAGCAGCTCCGTGAGTGGTACTTGCAGCGTCAGCGTGGTGGTGCGCTTGGTCCCTGCCCCTACGTTCTTCGCACAGGTGACCGTGCAGGGGAGAGGTGTGGAGGCGCCCACACAGCCCGCCGCTGCTTTGGCCGCCTGACCGACGCCTGGCGTCAGCAGTTTCCGGAGGCCGCTGAGATCCCCCGCTGGGGAGAGCTGTCTAGGGCTGGTGTAGCTATTTATGATCTTGATTTTGATGCTATTCTCTCTGCTATGTATGCTGTGACTGGTAGTGATGAGGATGACTGTTACCGGTGTTTCCCGCCCGA